GATCTTTCAAAAAGTACATTATTTTCAATGATTTAATCAACTTTATTTGTGATTTAACGTGTGAACATCTTTATTTTATAGTTTTAAACCTGTTGGAATCAGAAAAGSGTCGAGTTCCTGTGGACGAACATGGCGACRAAGAAGAACAAGAAYTCGTCAAAAACGCCCTCACGTTTTACTWGATCCAGGCTATATCAATTTACTAAAATGGGCAAAGTATAATGGGGTTGTATTTGACAATRTAAAGCCAGCGATATTCRAGGATACTGGTCGAGGGATGATGGCTACCAGGAACATTCGAAGTGGTGAAACTGTTATATCMGTCCCTRTWACWCTTTTGATAACACCGCAKACTGCACATCAAAGCGTTATAGGCACAATATGTCAGCAGAGCATCTCAAACCGTGGTTTTAAGCTTTCAAATAAGTCTTTATTATGTGTATATCTTGTGTATTTGAGATATCTTGGAAGAAAGTCGTTTTGGKATCCATATATCAGAACTTTGCCATGTGAATTCAATACACCCAGTTACTTTGATGAACTCGAACTAGATCTCTTACCCAAATCATGCTACAAGAAATCTTTAGTTCAAATAGATGAACTTAATAAAGCCTTTGAAGACATTACAGAAAATCTTTCMRAAACTTTGRAAGACTTTGATTYRAGATTTAAAAATGCTTTGACATTTGACAGTTTTAGATGGGCATGGTTTGTGGTCAACACTAGATCAGTGTACTTAGAAAATGGAAAGATACAACATCCTGGTTACCATGGMGATRGYTGTCATAGTGATAACTTTGCACTGGCACCAKTATTGGATCTATTGAATCATAGCGACATAGCAGATGTGAGTTGTGTTTACACAATATATATAATTAAATATTTTGTTAAACTCATTGCCAATTGATGATGAAGATGGGTGTGGGTGTCTTGAAGCCACTCACGAGAACACGTGGAAGTCCTAAATGACTAAGCAGTAACCATTCACAGTCAACAGCCTGACAACTATCATACTGAACAAGTCAGTGGAGAGTGATATACTTACCTTAATTATATATGTATAAAATTTTTTATCTTTATTTGTGTTTAGAAAAAGTTATAATAATCTAAGCTTATACAAGCGCTATATAAGCTTAGATTATTATTATTATTTACCTGAGAGAGGAGGGTGGGAGCAGCAAAGAATGCACACACACTGCAAACTGGGCAAGGACTGCTCATGTACAGAGCAAGCCCCTATTGGGTCAGGGTACCCCTTGCACACACATGGCAACAAATACTCGAAGGCACAAACACACTCAAACAAGAATCCCAAGGGGCAGAGCTAGTATTGCCTTGAGTTTAATCTTAAATTCCATTTAGCCACAAATAATTATTGATACTATTTTATAATATAACACTGATTGTGTGCTTTTGTCCCCTGAACATCACACAACTTATTTGTAACTCAAGATGGTGTTATATCTCAACAGATGCAAGCAGGAATCAGCCATGCCACCAAAACATACACAATCACTACGGTAACAGAGTACCACAAGGGAGAGCAAGTGTTTATCAACTATGGTCCTCATGACAACAGCACTCTTYTAATAGAGTATGGCTTCATTCTCCCTAAAAACATCCACAATTCAATCAAGATTAATCCTTCGTGTGTATATCATATGCTTAACCTACCAAACACGTCTGCAGTTAATATGAAACTTGAAACTATAAAGAGGAACAATTTTGAGAAAGACTTCAGTTTTAGTTATGAAAATGGTGTATCTTGGAACTTGCTCATAGCTTTGAGAATTCTGGCTTTGAATGATGCTGAAGTTTGTAACTGGACTCAAGTCTATAATGGTAAAAGATGTAAAGAAGAAGTTATTGTCTCTCAGTGGGTTGATTTAATAGTTTCATCTACATTGGAAATTTTGGTCAAAGAAGACCAAAGTCTTGYAATGGGAAATACTTTGACTACAAATATGAATCTAGCTCTAGAGCTTAGAAAACAAGAAAAAGAGATACTGACAAAAATCATGRAAAGAGGTCTTAACCAAGATTTGGATACTAAAGTCACAGACTGATTCATTCTCCAGACTTCAGGTTTAATCTGTCATTTGTTAATGCTTCCAAACTTACACTCCTGGTTTCCTGAGCATGAGACTGATTTCATAAGTCAGAGTTTCCACTCATTGGTTTTTGTGGTTACTGAACTATTGGAATAGTAGCCACTATGCTGTAGCGTAATGTCTTTACCGTATTCAAAATTCAGAAGTGGGCAATGAAGAGTATTTTAATACTAAATTAAATTAAAATAAATTAAATTAAAATATTGAAAAATAAATATTATTGACTTTCAAAAACAGAGTGAACTAGGATTGACTTATGGAATCACCAGTCCTGTACTACTGGATATTTGCTGTAATTGAATTCTCTGATCAATCAATAATGAACACAGTTTGTAATTTCAATTTTAATGGTGAAATATACTCGTATAAAAATCTGTTCTTAGTGACATTGCCAGTATGATACATAGGATATCTGCTGTATTTGGGATCCCTGTGGGACAGGAAGTTGAGAAGTATGGCTCTAGCCATTATTAGGTTCCAGTCTTTGCTCTGTGTTTCAATCATGTGACCACACCAGGGAGAGCTGTAGCATGGAAGTCTTGTTCTATGCTTGCCATGAGCTCTTTTTCATCTTCATCATAAAAATCRTGATAGTTTGATGGAGATAGGACAGTTTTATGTCTGTGATTATAGAAAGTWATGTTAGAGTTTAGAATGTAAACATGGAGAAAATCATCTTCAATGTTTGAATATAAAAAAAAAATAAAAAAAGTGATTAGCTTTGTTGATTTCTCTGCGGTACAACTTCTACAAAACAACCATTTTGACTGTGCATAGAAGTAGTAATGTATGGTAGGGAACAACACAAATAATCACTTTTTATTGTATTWATTTATTTATTTTTAATATTCAGACATTGAAGAAGATATTTTCCATGTTTACATTCTCTGATAGAAACACTTCAGAAAATGCTTTTAGAATCACCCACATTCAGCCGTTATTCAAAAAGTTTGTCTTCAGTTCATCTAACAATCCCGCCTGTTTCTAACAGAGAATRGAAACAAGGACAATATCTTGTATTGCTTGAATAAGACCACCCCRTGGTCCCTCGGCTACCTACCCAGYATGCTGTGCTTCTAYGGTCKTTGTTTCTRTGGTAACGGTATCATTATTATTTTCCTTCTTAACCTGGAAAAGTGCAAAACAAGAAATTGGTACAATTTCAACAGCTGTCATCTTCAAGAAAGGATTTCTCATTAGTATTTGTTTGTTTGTTCAACACAAATGGCTGCTGGTCTTTTATGTCCGTCGTGCCGTGGTAATAATAGCCGACTTGCGAATTTTGCCTCAGTAGTCACACACAAAGGATCGAATCAAGACGAAGCGACGTGCATAAAGCTCAGTCATTCGTGAAAAGACAAAGGTTTATCACAATTGACTGAGGTTTATGCACGGCACCTCGTCTTAGTCCAGTCCCAGCCCCTTTTGGACCCGCTCGGTTAACTGTCCTAACCGAGCGGGTCGAAAAGGGGCTGGGACTGGACTACACCTCGTYTTTGACGGCTATTGAAAACGAGAAATGCACATTTTTTATCCCGAGCCAAAAAAAAAACAAGATTTGTTTCCTATTTCTATTTTCCCGGTAGAGGGAATCTACTTAGTGATTTTACATTTAGTTCAAGAAAGTAGTCTTGCCTATCAAATGATTTTACCTCGTTAGTTGCGACATTCGCAGCCTTGAATTTATTGACATCAATTAACGGCGTTGGGTCAAAAGGCTCCTCAGAAACTTTCTAGAAAAAAAAAGATGTTGATAAGAGCAAGAACATAGCTTCGAATAGGCAATCAATGTGCAGTGAATCCATTTTCTGTGTAGCAAAGCATCATATGGTAGTTGTAGTCCTCGAACTTATCATAGACCCAAAAAGAATATCTCYTTAAAAAGCGTTTTTACCATTACAATTTATTTGTAGAAATGGTAGAACTACTTCAATTTTTGCTTAGAAAATTAGAAAAAGCAAAAAAACTGGTTAGAAGGACTGTTGTAGCGGATATAAAAAGGTACGAGGACTACAACTACCATCATGCTTTGCTGTGCAAAATGGCGTCGCTGTACATTTCCTATTTACGGCTACAAGCCAATATATAGAACTAGTGCAGTAAAAACCCGCGTATAGACTACTTTCACAATTGCCTACTATCAATTTTATATGATTGGCAATATTAAGGAAACATTCAGCACTGTAATATTGAAGAACTATCAGAAATAAGTAATTGTGCAAAATTTTGAAGATATAGACTAAATACTGATGAAGTTAAGGAGGAATGAAAATACAAGGATTTGTATGAAATTAATTCGATCTTTACTGAGGCCTTGGTGGTCTCGTTTTGGTGTCTTTTTGGCATCTTCCAACCCTTATAACTTCCAGAGGATTTAATATTTTTCTTTGAAACTTTCAGAGCTTATCTTTAGCTTTGATATCTATCATCTGAGTGTTTTCCTTTGTCAACATTATGAATTTAACAAAAATATGCTAATTAGTGTCGGCCATTGTGAAAGTCGTGCATAAGAATAAATGTATTATTAAAGAACATGCACCCACGCCTGATTTTAGGAAATGAAGTATATATATAAGAACAAATTCAGCCTGAAAAATGGAAGTTGTTCTTATATGATTGAAAAGGTCTAATAGACGAAACATCATTGAGAGTCTTGGTCTTTTAGTGTGTCAAAAGCGATAATTTAAAAACAAAAACAATTTCACATGTAGCATGATGTTCTTCTTAAAATATCAAAGATCAACACTATCTTTCATTGCACACATAATTATAGTTCCACCCCAATTATATGGAAAAACAAAATAATATTTTTTACTAAAATAAAAACATACTTCAGATCATATATTTCTTTGAAAAGCTTATTCTATTTATAGATATTTGATTATGCATGTACTGTACTGTAAGAACACTTACAGGCTGATTATGCAGATGATAACGTCCTTTATATAAGAACCAGACAGGCTGCTCTTATGTGCGGGTTTTTACTGTATTTATTAAGTTTCACGGATGCAAGCACTCGATTACTAAGACGTGTTTTGGGGCAGATTGGAATGGACTAGGCCAAAGAACACCGACGCAACTAGCACCAAAACCAGTTCCAAAACCCGTGAAATACATAGTATCACATCTATTGTTAAAGCGACATGGACCCCAGCATTCAATGCGTTCGTATTTTAGATTTTTCATCTAGCTAAAAATGACATGACTTCAAATAACCACTATACAATCAGTTTTCATGATCCCTTCGACAGGTGGAATCTTACAATATCTCCACTTACATAGCAAAAACGATATTTTGCTCAAAGGTGCTTTCTGATGACAACATTTGTTCGTGCTTTCATTTGTTTTTGGTAAGGTCTTTGCGCATGAGAGACTGTTGTCAACTAAATCAGCGGTCGATCGCTTTAAACGGAAAAATGTAAAGATATGAATATGAGGACCGCATGGCACTATGATAGACACGATATAGAAATGAAAGAAAGTTATAGTGCTTAGAAGGAGGCAATTCCTTAGGAAAACCTCTCGGAATAGACCGAATCAGCCGGCTTGTCACGTGATTTGAATTGGGTAAACAAACACGGTGGCGCGTTTGACAAGTGACTCGTGTTTTTTTCAATCACTCTTTTAAAATGGTTCATTGTTGCTGTGTACGGGACTGTAATAATAATTCTACGGTCACTGGTTTATCGTTCCATAAGTTCCCTGACGATCCCTCACTAGCCAAGGTAAGTTTGACGTTTTTTTTATTGAAACTTTTGATGCTGTTTTAGTGTTGTAGTCCAATTACGTTTTCTTACGTTCGGTATTACAAATGTTCTTTTCTTATCGTAATCACAGATTTGGACAATAAAGATTAAGAGAAATCATCCAAAGGATAGTTTTAAAGTTGGAGAACACACTAAAGTGTGTTCAGAACATTTTTTAGAGACAGATTTTATCAATTCTTTCAGCACGAAACGGCGACTACAAGCTGAGGCTATTCCTTCAGTGTTTGCTTGGTCTAAGCAAGTTGTCGCTAGACCTTTTATCAAAAAGAAAAGAAGATTGGAAGAGGAAAGGGAGCTAGCATTGGCAGAGCAAACAGAAACAGCTTCAGAAGGGGAGGAAACTTTGGAAGTGGAAAGTAAAAAGAACAGGGTTTCACGAGGAATTCAAGTAGACCGCGATACTCCATGTTTACACCGATTTTCACTCGAAACTCTCTTGGAAATGGCTGACACGACAAAGAAAAAAACAGACTACATAAGTCATCTCACTGGCTTTAAGTCATACGAACGATTCATGGAGGTGTTAGAATTTGTCCTTCCTGGTTTAGATAGAAGTAAATAAATAATTGCTATTTATTTTATACTTTTAATATGATGATGCATTAATGCATGTGTACATGAAAAGAGCATGTAAAATATATATTCAATTTATAAGCCACATAATTCTTGTTAATGATTGATTGAAACTAATATAATAATAGCTTGTTAAATAGTGTGTACTGGATAAAGCTTTTATTTTCCTTTTTACCTCGATTTATAGGTAAAATCATCTACTGTGACACTGTGGCAGCAAGTGAAACTCAAATTGACATGTCTGTACTGTTTGACAGTGACAAGACAACTGACAGTAGTGAAGATTCACAGCTTGTTGATTCTGAAAATACTGATGATTTACTAGAAACCAATGCACGGGATCATAAACTACCAGTTGAGGATGAATTCTTGATGTTTATGATGAAGTTAAAGCTTGGCTTGACTAACTTAGATTTGGCCATAAGATTTTATATTTCACAAGGCAGGGTATCGAACCTAGTGAATTCATGGCTGATATACTTGTATACCTTCTTTGGAAAGCTGAAGATATGGCCACATCGTGATGTCATCATTGAACAAATGCCTTCAAAGTTCAAGGAAGAATACCCATCAACTATGATCATAATAGACTGTACAGAATTGAAGATAGAGTGCCCATCATCATTGCTGAAACAGTCTGAGACATATTCTAACTATAAATCTACAAACACTGTCAAAGGTTTGGTGGGGGTTGATGCTAAGGGTGGTATAATGTACGTATCACACTTATATACNTTTCCAAAAATACCGGAACAAAGAATGTATATTAATGGCGGATAAAAGTGTCAATGTTGATCATGATGATGGTTGATTTCGTTCTGTTTTGATGTGATGTTTACAAAGCTTTGAACTAATTATGAAAAGCAGGAAGATTTCACCGCGCTTTTGCACGTCGGCCGTAAAGACACAATTATATATTTATCGCTTTAATCTCGCTGAATGGACAACATTTATCAAGTTTTTCACATTTCACAGTAATAAGCCGGAATCGTTTGTCATTTTTTTGTGTTGTTTTGGTAAATTGCTATACGTCATGACCATGAAGCAGGTGAAAATACCAKATAATTGAAAGAAACTCTGGAAGCTTATTTCAAATTCCTTTTCTTTTCAAGTACAATGTCATATTTTGAATCCTCATTTCTCCATTGGTGTTAATATATGTTTTTACAGTAGAAAGGTAATTCTCATTTCATTGATACTTTGCTTTGGTTATATTGGTGAGTCTCGTCTCGAAATGCCATCGTTTTCGATTACGCTACTAAAATGTACGGGAATCCCTTTCTTGCCGGTTTTAGGGCAATGCTTATCTCTAGAATGCAATATAGTTTTAAATGTATGTAGCAGTTATATGCGTTTAGTGTCATTTGAGTCATTTTTTCGTCAAGCTTTGCGTCGTTCTTGTCTCGTTTCGTGCAACTCCAAATGGTAACTTCCGGATTCCAGCTACGAACATCAACATAAAACATTTGCTGTCGAAATATTTTTTTGGGTATGGTGCTTGCRAAAGCGCATTGAACTCGGTTAATTTTGTAAATATAGGTCATGGCTGCATATAACATCTGACTCCTCAACGTTGTCTTTATCATGTGTCTTTTCGACTATGTAACTTTTTTCTTCTCGCCAATCCGCACCTAATTATACGATCAGTAAAGTGGCGTTTACACGAGCAATTTTTCGATCCTTGACAAGTTTCTTGACAAGGAAAAATTGCCCGTGTAAATGGTCAACACGTTTTCCTCGACAATTCTTCCTTGACAATGTTTCTTTGCTAGTGTAAACGAAGAACAAGTTTTCCTTGACAAGGAAAAATTGCTCGTGTGAATGGTCAACAAGTTTTCCTTGACAATTTGTCCTTGCCACATTTTCCTTGTTGTCCATTTACACGGGCAACTTTCGTCCTTGACAATTTTTCCTTGTCAAGCTATAGGAAAAGCGAACATGCTGGCTTTTCATTGACAAGGAAAATTTGTCCATTTTACCCCATTTACACGAGCAATTTTTTTGAGTGATGGCTTGAATTACTATTAGGCGAGAAAGGTTCTTTTGCATGCTAAGTTCGAAAGATCTTATCAATTAGTCAAGAATTACAGGGATTTTTCTGAGTCGGAAATTCCACAGTCGTCTCGCGTTCAATACGCTAAGTTTTTCGATATACAATTTTTTACTCATTTTTCCGGTACAGCTGGCCATGGACGTGATGGAAATCCTGACAAGTATTTTCTTGTATTTGAGTTTATTTTTTTTCGCTCCATGCATAAGGACGTTAAGATAATGCAAAGAAAAAACGGTGAATATAAGTCATAAGAATCAAAAAGTACTGYAGTTAAGTACGCTAAGCCTGTCTTTTTGTGTCTTATATGAAAATGAAATAAAACCATGGCTTGCGAGGCTTACAGTAAATGTTTAAAGATAAAAGGTCAGAACATATAAGCAAACATGTATACCGTACTTTGTCATGGAAATGAAGTAATCCAGGTGAAGTGTACTATCAAAGTTAAAATCAATTAGTGAATTAGTTTTATTTTTCGCACATTTGCACTAACAAGCTCCATGATTTGACGCGCTTTCGATGGCTCTGTTCTTCCCTAATCTTCATTGCAAGCTCGGTTTTACTTATAATGCATTCTTTTATATATTTACCTTGGTTAATCTCGGAACGTCATTTGGAGTGCTTATTTGCCCGTCATCTGATTGAATTCCTGTAGGCAYGGGTTTATTTCGGCCACTTGATTTTTTCCGAATTCCATCGAATGACGACGAATGTGTATCGATTCCTTCACGGCCAAACTCGCTTTCATCTTCGTTATCCAAATCATTTATTAAGTTAACCTGATCSGATCTTTTTGTGWTTTTAACGGCCGGTGCCCATGCATTTGAAACYCCGGCGTCGTTTCCTTGTCTTTGCTGYTTGGGAGGTGAATGTTTAACTGTTTTAACAGCTGAACTGTATTCTAAATGRTGTACATTATCCTCATCTTGTAGGTCTATAGGACTTGTAGAATCGATTGAAGTCTTYAAATTAGCTTCATTTAACTTAACTTTGCCTTGATAGATACCATTATTATTTGTAGCATCAATTTGTTTGTTTTCCGTGGAATGATTTTCAAATTTTGAACCTTGCTCTTTACTTTCATTGCAGCCCATCTTACCGGTCAACARGAGTCCAGTTCGTAGTCACATTCTACTTGAGTTTATTGCWACACCTGCGCAAAGTTTCTGATCAACTCCTCCGTTGGTTGCTATTATGGATAGTTTATCTTGTTGATATAGCTACGCATATTGATGAGCTCAAAWGGACAATAAACTCAGACAAAGYCCAGTATTAAGGGGCTTTACGTCATCATTGAATAGCGCGCGCCTTTTTTCTGGTAATTATGACGTCAGAATCATCAGGAGTAATTAGCGTCACGAAATAAACAGTAAACTAGTCTAATATATTTAATGTTCTTATTGCAAAATAAACATTTKAAAAAACTCCTGGGAATTAGAATTGCACGCATTCAGTTATTGTTTGAATAGTGAAAAGCGTATCAATTTGAGACATTTCCAGACATTAAAAATGGCGTCTCGAAAGCATGACGATGTTTTTTTGTCTRCGGAATATCCTGTCCGTCAAATGATTTATTTGTTTTTAATTGTACCTCAGTCTCCAATTGATGAGAACACAGAATATCATTATGAATTATTTGCTAATTCAGCCTTCGTCTCTCGCCTGTTTTTCTTGTGTTTAGTATCTGCTGTTTGTGTGTGAGCGTCGTTAGGCTTGTTCTGCGGTCCTTTAATTAAATTTGAGCAAAGTAAAGAACTTGTAATTTAACCCGCATGCACTGACTCAGCAATTTAGCCACTATTAGCGCTATTTCTAAATGTCTGTGCTCTGATCAACTATTAAAATCAATTTTTATGTATTTTATTCACAAATTGTAAACATCTTTGAGCTCAAATTAAAAAAAAATTGTTGTAGATTTGAGATGTTCTAATCAAGTATTTTGACAAGGGGCGTATTTAGAGGGGACCACTCAGGGTGCTCGTAAATCACGGCTCAGAAAATGTTAGGTTCTCGTTTCGAATTCTCTATGATACTCTATGTATTACTGTCTTGGAATGCTCTTTATTTAGAGCGGATTTCGTATGACTGTGCAACGGCACGGATCACAACACGGACACGGCACGGCACGATCACGGAACTCCTCGCCTTCTAGGATTCCAAATAGAGCAAATTTCGTATGAGTGGGAAACGGACGGTACTGTAATGTGACCGTAATCGTACTGTAACCAAATTCTAGTGCCCCATTGGTTCACCAAAATTGTGCAGGCCAAGTCCGCCGGTAACTGTGCGATAACCATGCGGTAACTGTGTCCCACTCATACGAAATCCGCTCTAACAATACATCACCGCTACGGCACGTTACGGTCACAGCGCGAAAGTACCGTGTTTTTTGCACAGTCATACGAAATCCTCTCTAGTATTCAGCGTTCTGAAATAGGTCTTAATAGACGCCATGTTCACAATGTCAATGAGTGAGGATCGAGCCCCTCCCCTGACTGCGCGCGGTGATCAACGGCTGAAACCCACTGGTTGTCAATGTATATACAACATCATCGTTGGCCCAGCCGTCAGGAGAGAGACTAATATCGCGAGCGTGTAAATTCTATATGCTACAGCTCGARTAAACATGCACTCTGATCATGCTATAGTTTGGGTTGGCTGAGTTTTCTCGACCACGGCATTGTGCGCGCATCACATCAGAAAGTTTTTCAATTCAGTAGTTTCTGTAAAAAATCCACACGAAACATTTTTAAATGCGTTGCTTGTGCAATTGATTTAGTAGGGACTAGTTACTCTTCTTCTCCCAACGAAGCCTATCTATCTATTAGTGTGTACTTAGTTTTATTTGTAGAATACTAAGCAGTTTTAACTTTAAATTGGGACTAACTCACATGTATATATACTAACTCATCTTTCTGGGCTACTTTATATTATATCTTTGTATTATAAAGGAATAAATCATTGTTTTTGGTGTGTCAGTTGTTGATGGGTCAYAGGAATGATATGCTTGAATATGCAAAAGATTCCAGTTGCACCACGGGCTTAATATAGAGCGGATTTCCTATGAGTGGGACACCGTTACCGCACGGTTACCGCACAGTTACCGGAMCTGGCCTGCACAATTTTGGTGAACCAATGGGGCACTAGAATTTTGTTACARTACGATTACGGTCACAGTACAGTACCGTCCGTTTCCCACTCATACGAAAWCCGCTCTATGATCATTGTCATTGATCTGACAATGGTTTTGAATGGAAATTCTCAGTTTTAATTTCTCTTGGCTTATAATTTCTCGTTTTTTTGCATTTCTGTGGTTGACAGCTTAAAGATATGTAACATGCAGTGATATAATCAAGGGCGGGTCTAGCTGAAGCTTTAAGGGGGTCTAATAAATGGTTTAAGGGGGCCCAATGGGCTTTATTTGTTATAATACTGTTATAATACAGTTGACTCTCTTTGACTCCCCCAGTTCGATGGGATCACTTTTGGTGATGGAGCAACTCTCTCGTAAGCGACCATCTCTCGTAAACGACCACTTTTTCCTGATCCCGAGGTGGTCGTTTTTTAGAGAGTTGCCCCATCAGCAAAAGTGATCCCATCGAACTGGGSTTCCTGTGGTATATGAAATTCAAAGATGGCGGCCAACTAAACAGAACTCAGGTTGTGTTCTGACCGTTGTTAGCGGTTTAAACGATGTCCTTCAATATAAATTACCTTCCAGAAGCTGTTTTACTCAAGATATTCTCAATTCTTGCTTCCCAACGGCTGTGCAACCTTTTTCGTCTTCGTCTTGTTTGCCAGAGATGGAAAAGTTTGTCTTCTGACTCAAGTCTTTGGCAGAAGATAGTCTTCCCAAACAACAGATATATYAACATTGAAGTTATAAAGCGGCTTGTTTCGTGGAGTAGAAATGTCAAAGAGGTTGATCTTACYTCCTGTCCTAGAATCGACGACGACTGCGTTGAAATAATCACTGAAAAGTGTCCGAAACTTGAAATCCTTTGCTTGAGRAACTGCTCGCAAACTCACGTTGCCATAGAAAAGCTTTCAAAACTCTGTCAAAATCTTAAGAAGCTGACATTATCTTATAACGATGTCAATAGYACAAACTTGATATCCGCAGGGCTAAAGGAACTTTTCAAAAAATGTGAAAAACTTGAAGAAATTAGTATATTTTGCGAAGATGAGGAGAACGAYGACARTACATTATTATTGACAGCGTCGGTGATTGAAAATGCAACCRGTGGTACACTGAAACGTYTTTATTGTGAAAGTGCAGCGTTTTCATCMGAGTCTATGTTTCAAGGGAATGCATATACAGGCAGTCTGTCCAATGAYACTTTGGAAGAGCTTCAWTTACCAAAATGCATGGATTTGACCAATCAAATTTTATTTAACATTGGCTGCCGGTTTCCATGCCTCAGGTCCTTAGATGTCTCTCATTGCCCAGGCATCAATGATGTTGGAATTATTGCACTTGCAGAGTTTTGTCCTCTATTGGAAAAAGTCAATATGATGGCWTGCCAAAGCATWACAGATATTGCAATCGAGTGTCTTGCGAGAACTTGCAAAAACCTTCAATGTCTATGTGTTGCGGGCTCAGAACTCCCTCGTCCAATGGGCAATATTACTGATGTTGCAATCAAAAGTATTGCGAGTGAGTGCATAAAGCTTAGAGAGCTTGATGTTAAGTGGTGTCAAGGAGTTACAGATGTTGGCATYAGCGCCATAGCAACAAACTGCCCTGGTCTCACCTCTTTAAAYGTCAGTGGCTGTCTTGCAATATCTGACGTGTGCATGCTTGTTGTTGCAGCATACTCAAAGAATCTTGAGATTCTTAACATCACTGAATGCCTACGCATTACAAGTGCAAGTGTCAATGCCGTTGCACAAAATTGCATTAAGCTGAAGCACCTTGACATGCAAGTRTGYTCATACTTGACAGGAATGGATTTTAGATCTGACAGTGCAACATTTCTTCCATTGCTACACATAGACTTATCCTATTGCACAAAGCTAACAGATGACTGCATCAAGTGCATAACATGCATGTGCAACAGTCTCAACTACATCAGCCTWGCAGGTTGTCGGCATATCACAGACGTGGGTGTSAAATACATTGCACAGAACTGTCCAYTGCTGCAATACTTTGATATTTCTTTCAGAGGTTCACAGTCTAATGYTCGTTTGAGCACAGATTCATTAATGGTTTTGGCTAGTAAATGYCATCAGCTTGTTTACATTGATGTGATTGGWTGCTGGAACATAAACCATGAATGYGTYAGCACATTCATTGAGCAGTGTTCTTATTTAAGTCAGTTGAGTGTCAGCCAACTCASTGAGCCTCACTCAACATGTAATCAAAAGCAGCAGCTAGAAAGTTTGGTTGCTAAGCACCGWTCATTCTRCAGTGTTGATAGGGTGTCACAGTCTACAAGAGGTGGAAAGGTGGCGGAAAGTTTCATTATAAACATGTCTGCTTTACTTTTGTAGTCTCTTTTTCCCTTTTTTTATTGTAAAGTGTTTTTATGAAGTTAAAAATGGATTAATTAGCATATTGTTAATAAAATATTCAAACAAACATTACATGTTTTAAAAATCTTGTTTGCTAAAATATAAAGCATGGATGCAAAATGTTTTAACTGGCAATTTCCAAGAGTTTGATAATACACTRCTAATATAGCAAAGATTGTGATTTGGTAAAATAAAAAACAAGACAGGCAATACAAACTTGCAGAGCAGTCAACATTGTTTAAGTAATTCCCTAAGTTTGTACTTATCTTACTCAATCACAAGCGTTGTTCTGATGTAGTGGTCGTTCCCAAGACTTATTAAAATAGCTGAATTACAAGGACAATCCTTACAGCATAACTTCTCCCAAATTAAGCAATTCTCCTAGCAGTTTGTTTGCAATAAGGTGTATAAATTCAATATTTATAAATGAGTTCTAGAAGCATAGCATATCACAAGGCAGACTTGTGGACAGGCAGCCCAAATATTGATTGAGTGTAATGCTTTATGCTTTTTTAAATCATTTTTTTAATGCTCAGTAGTTTGTATCTGCATGTTGCACTATAATTATGACATAGTACCAGAGGGAATCCGTATTTCACTAAGAGTGTGGGCTAGAGCAGAGTCACATGAACCATGAAATAAGAACTAAAAAGTACTAACTAATAGGCACTATTAGTTCCTAATAGTCGTTAGCACTGAACCAGAACAGTTTATTTGATCCAATAAGCAATACCCAAGAGACCATTATAACAATCAAAGTAATCTCTTTGTACTGTTCTGGTTCAGTGATAGTGTCTAAATAGTACCTATTAGTTACTAAGTATTTAGTTTCTATTTCATGGTTCAAGTGACTCTGCTCTATTACAAAAGTGTGTACCAGTTCCTTTTTCCCCATTTTTCATAAAACCTACTGAACATCAAAAAGTAATTTTGAAAAAAGGCTTTCAGCAATAGTTGGGCTGCCTATGAGCCAGGAGGTTGCTCAAGGTTGACAGCATGCTATTAAAGTCCTGATAAAAGAAACCTTTAAACAAAAATAGCGCAGAAWGTGCAACCAAGGCACAATGGTGAAAAAGAGGAAGCTGGCATAGCATTGTTATGAAAATAATTGTGTTTATTATAAGAATTGATATGACAAGAATCTACATCTATAATCTAATTCATTTGGTTAAAATTGTAGAACAAGTAAAACATACGTAAAAAAAAAAACATAAGTAATTCGTCTAAAATTTAAAATTCATCTTCTCAGGACAAGGGTACTGAACCCAACTTTAAACTTTACAACCTATATTATGACAATGTGCTTTATATTCACAAAAATAAACCTTTTCATCAGCAACACTAAAACTACTGTAGCTTGATTCCTATGTTTGGTCCAGTTCACCMTTTTTCTTAAGTCCGATTTAGACGACACAACTTTTGCTTACAACCATTGCATGCAACCTATGTAAGTCACCCTTACGACATGGCTACAACTGTTGTAGGGATTTTAAACAATTGCTTAATAGCCTCACGACAGTTATAACCATGTCGCAAGGATGACTTATGCATGTCGCATGCGATAGTTGTAGGGAAAAGTTGTGCAGTCTAAATCGGCCTTCATACAGTCAATCCCATTAACGTTGTTCAGTTGTAAAGACAACAACAAAGTCATTTGCAATATGTTTTTTTTTTTTTTTGCAAGAATATTGAATATTAAGTTCYAAAATGTCTTTACCATGTCAATAACATTTATTAGCTATTCATCTGAACTTTAGAATTACATGTAAAATTCTTCCTGTGAATTCTAAAAACCTTTTTATACAAATGACTTTGTTGTTGTCACTGTCTGTGAATATAGCGTACCTCATAGCAAAATACCTTTGGATGTTTTTAAGTAATCTTCCTTTTTACAGTTCCTAGCACTATTTTGAAAGTTATCTCTGTTTTCACATTGAAGCTCAGCTCTACTCTTAAGCTAACAACAAATTCCTTTGTAATAATTTTTCTCAAGCTGAAACAAATGACCTCTAAGATATAGAATCAAAGTATGTGCTTCATTTAGTTTAAAAAGCTGTAAAAATATATCAAATTCCAATGATAATGACTTTTTCAAAGATGTTCTTTTCTTAGAGTAATATATGGTTGTCAGTATTGTCTTTAATCTAGCATTAATATAACAATAATATTAGCTTGGTAAGTGTCACTGAGTGCTGGCTTCAAAACCTTTGCATTGCAATGCTATCAATTCAGACAAAATTCACACCATGTCATTAGTGATAGACTGCTGTCAATCAAAATTCTCAAATAAACCAGCAGTTGGTACCAAAGCACTTTAGTTGATTGACAATAGTCTATTACTTACTGCATTAGAGAAAATTATCTGGACTGGTTGTGTAGCCATGTAGACTTTAATGATATTTTTGAACTAAAAACTTTTTTTTATGGCACTGTAAATTGGATTGCTTGGTATCACAAAATAGTCAAAGCACTTTAGTTGATTGACAATAGTCTATTGATAATTACATTAGAGAAATTTTATCTTGACTGGTTATGTATAGTCTCCTTCACATCCATTTTTGTATCGGGCAGGAAGCCCGAAATGAAATAGGATGTGAAGGAGACTAGGTTATGTAGCCATGCAAGCAAMTGTAGTGATATTTTCCAACTAAAAACTTTTTATGGCACCAAGGACTGTAAATTGGTGTGCTTAGTATCACAAAATGGCCCATGGTTACACTGTTTTTATTCTACTATCTAAGTTTGGTTATACTTGCAAGAACTTTGRGTGCTCAATTCCTCTGACCAGTAAAGTCTCTCCTCCTATCTTTGGTCCCTTTCTCTCAATCAACATGGATGTCCTCTGGTAGTTCATTTCACCACAGTTTGCACAAGTAAGCTTTGGGATCTTTGATCCATAACTAATAGTTCTCTGACTGCAATTYTTACAAGCAAAGAATCTCTTCAAAGCAGTTGTCTTCTTMACTGGATGGTTTTGCTTGTAGCAGATATCAGAYGCACTCTCTGCAACATAGTCACACTTCTTGCAGCAGTAAACTACGACTGAGATTTCTTTGATTGCTTTCATTTTGTYTTCCATGTTTTCTTTCTTCTCTAGTTCGTTGAAGTACTTTTCCTGTCTTTCAGCTTGAGCTTCTTCWACTTGACCAACATGTAAAGACTTTGCTTTGATGAGTCTCTTTCCTTCTWCAGTTTCACTATTAAAAGCATCAAACTCTGGTCCAAGAAGYCTTCTCTTCTTAGACTGCTTAGGAGAAATGTCAGATTCATCAGTTTCYTCAAGGTTTTTTTCTACACGTTGCTCAACTGATTTYTCTGACAGAGGTGATGKCTTTTTCTTTATGGCATTAGGATCAACTTTGTCAATRGGGCCTTTTTGCTGGATAATAAACAWTGCACGGTTCTTGGCTGARGCTGCCTTTYTGGATGATTTGCTGAATATTATATCACCACCRGGYTCCAAGCCTCTTCCTAACATAGGTGCATCATTGGTAGAGMRGGGCCTGGGATTCTTCAGCTCCTTGCGGTAGCTTTTTAGTAACTGAGAGGCTGATGCTTTAGAGGGATTTAATTTTGCTTCACTTTGCTCTTTCTCATCRTGAAGGTATTTAGAAAGATTCCTTGTTCCAGCTGTAGGMACAGATAACAAATCAAGAAAATATTCTGAAGGTTTAGTGTTATCTGTTTTGGGAGTTGCTACCTTTTCCTTGATACTAYTTGGAAGTTTTGCCTTAGTTGCATTTTCAATKGCACTTAAGGTAACACTTTTTGACTTCTGAGCAGAAGGGCTGTTCACTTGAAGCATTTTTCCTTGATACATGAAGGTTGAAGACRTCATGTCCTTTTGWAGTTTCTTCATAAGCTGTCCTTTGGGAGGYCCTGAGGAAGACTGAAACTCCATTCGTTTTGACTTAACTTTCTTRTAMGCAGTGTTGAYGTGGTAYTCACAGAATTCYCCATATTGCTTGTTAACAATATTGCTACATGGTTTGCCATCTTTTCTTGTATGTCCAAGACAATGACCAAAATCTTTGCTTATTCCAACTAGCATCAGTTTTTGAGGATTATCTAAACATAGAGCCARCTCTTGTGAATGTTTCTCTTTAGCAGGRAGTATGTTTGCATTAAGTATCGCAATAACACTCCCCTCTGTTATCTTCCAGTGTGTTTTATAAACTTCGCCAAACAAAAACAAAGCAACAGTATTGTTAGCACTTGTAATTCCCAGATCAGAGAGCTTCCAAATCCCATATGTCTTGCCGTTTGAGCTTGTTTTAGGTGGAATTTTCTTTGCTACAACTGCAGTAGTCACCCAGTCGTAGTCGACATCTTTTCCTTTGACTTTGTCGGCTATTTGAGAGACGGGGATGAACTTTCGACCCTCCATTTTAGTAGACATTTTCACAGATGAAATCAAAGGATTGATAACATTTARACCAGAAAACTTATCCCACATCGAATTATCTTTGCCTTTTGAAGATTCTTCTTTGGAAATATCATCTGCTTTTCTCTTTTGTCGTGGATTCTTTGTTATCACAAGTTTCGGCGTTTCTTTGCGCGGTTTTTCTTTGGGATTTTTGTTGATCGAGGTAGCCTCATTTGGAGACGAATGACCTGTGGATTTTGGAGACTCGGAGTTCGATTTCTCCACTTCTTCAACTGCATCAGTTAAAATATCGTTTGAATCGTCGTCTAATAAAGCTGTTAACATTGATAAATCGTCTTCGTTTTCCATTTTAGAGGGTAAATTTAAGACAATTTTAAGTACTGTACCGATATGGAAGGAAATTTTTGCCGCCTTTTCTTGAAATCAGTACCAGGCCTTCTCTGCCACAGGGAACAAGTACACGATGAAACTGGCAATTGTGTTCATTTAAGACTATTTCAGACATCTTTTGTAAATTTTTATCTTCTCCAATCTAAATAAATATGCCCTCTTTTTTTGAATTCAGTATTTGGAATTTTAAAAAATCGGTCTCCAAAGCCGGTCCTCCTGTGGAAAAGATATCGAGAGAGATCTGGCACGACTATTGCATGATCAAAGTCTCGTTCATGGATTGGTCTATATCGCGACGTAATATGACGTAAATGTATGCTTATATACCAAATGTTCAGTTGCGAAAACTTTTTTGACTTACAATCGAACCAGAATTTCGCGTAACTTTGACTTTTGTGTATATTAATTCAAGTCGAGTACTTTGACAGAGGTTTTAAAAGCTTACTTAAGCTTAAGTTAAAAGCAGGATTTAGAAAACACTTTGTCGAGGTCTAAACAAACTACCGGGAAAATTTGGATGAAAGAGATTTAAGCTGGATGAGAAGCTAGAAGAAATAATGGAAGGGCGTCCAGGGCTCAGTTTATTCAACAGGTAAGTTACTTAAATTGTTAAATTTTTGTTGGATGTCAAGAATATAGTCATTGGGAGAAATTCAGTTCGGGGTTCGGGGTGACGGTTTTCCACTGGGAATTTTTTTACATGCCGCGACAGCGAACATTCCATCTCCTCCTCGGAATTCTGCCAAAATTTCAAGTCGCTTGTGTTCCTCAATAGCCAAAACATCCAAAAATTACTGTGGCAGCTCCAAGGATTTGCCTTAGACGGTCTTTTAAGTGATTCTCTTTAAGCGACTGTCCAAGTTAATCGAATCAACCGCGGAATCAAAATCGCTTAAAAAAGTCACACACCTGCAAGCTGGATTCTTTCAGCAAGTAAGCTCCTTCGCTACCTATAAACTTAATGATGTTCGTAAAGTAGTGACTAAAGGCAAAAAGGCTGAAAAAACCGCGAAACAACACATTTCTCGACTTCTTGCAGCTTCGAACCAAAACAAACCGACAAACAAAATGTCAAAGTCATGAGTTAATTTAGCGCGAATATGAAAATCTAGGATATTTTACGATAGTGAACTAGTTAATAGTTTTTTTTCGTAAAGTTAACACTCAACGATCTCAATAGACCTGATGACATTTAATATCAAGTTTTTTTGACAAAAATAGCATTAGTTAAATAACCTATGAAATAGTTAAGCTCTTGAAAAAAGCTGCTCGGTTTTTTCAGTGTTCAGTTCGTATAATTTCGAAAAACAAGTCCATGTTATAATTTTGAAAGTTTTCGCTTCTGAAATTTTCAAATATAGTAATCTGAAGTGTGCAGTTATCTGTAAGAAACTCAAAAGAACCCGATGAAGCAGAGTTGCGATGTGCTCCGTGACTGGTGAAATTGTCCCGAGTGGTCCCCCCATAGTCTCCAAATTTGTCTAGTTTTCAGTTTTGCGCGCGCAAGTGGCCTCAGAATACCATCGACACGGATGGGTTTGGGATATTTTTGGGGACACTTTTTTGGATTTTTTTTGCSCGAAAAAGCGTTTCTATCGATGCCTCTCGTCCAAAATAAGGTAAAAAACGTTGATTTACATATGCTGTCTCAGATAAAATTTCGTTTTTATTTAATTTCGGTGCTAAAAAAGGATTTTTGTCGATCGTTTTTGGCTCATTTTTGGGAGAATTTCGAGCGGAGTCTCCTCCCTTGTCACTATATATATATATGTAGGGGATATTTTTTAAAACCCATTTATAATGCATTGTGACACTGAATAAAATAAAATTAGACCATTTTTTTAAGTAAAATTTTATTTTTAACCATTATAGGTTCAAAGTCACTGCTTGGGCTCCCTGTGTTTGAAACAACAAAAATGGAGTCGTTGCGACAGTCCAAGACTTGGAGCCCAAAATAATGAGTTTAATAACCCAACTTCTAGTGATCTAGTCTTTTATATCGTCAGAAGGTTGTCAGAAGAACACTGCTAGCATGAGCATTTGCAATGGTAAAGCGGACAATACCGAAGGTGTTACTATTCACAAATGGCCAAATGACAAGCTTAAGTTGGAGAAATGGAAAAGATTCGCAAGTCTTCAAGTCATGGAAGAACCACCTAAGAGCACAGGAATCTGTTCTAGGCATTTTAAACCCGAGTGCTTTCAAAGATATTACCACGTGCCAGGTCAGCTTAAGCTTTTTATCAATGATGTCAATGATGAAGTAGTCCCAACGATTTTGGGCACTACATCTCGAGGACARGTCAGTCAGGTGAGATATCGAAAGCTTTTCGTATTTTAAGATAAGATAGATTTTAACTGTAAAAAAGGATGAAAAAAGGTGAAATATGAATAAATTTCAGTCTGACATTTTGAATGATAATCCTTCATCTGAGCATTCTTTGTACTGCAGTATATTTTATTAACTTGCACCAAAGACAGGTACAATTTTGTACTATATATATAGACTATAGATTTTATGCAAGCGGTTCATAAATGCATACCACTCATGTTGCGTTAATTATCTTTAATGATAATTTTTTGAAAACCTTTATCTTTTTTATCAAAGCAAGCCACCTGCTCTGTAAAACGCAAGGACAGCCCAACTTATGAGCCAGGTACAAATAAAAAGTTTAAGTCTGCTGCAGAAAGAGATCAAGAAACAATAACAAAAGAGCCAGTTTCAACAGGTAGATTAATTGTTGAATGGTATGAAAAACCATGCATGATCATGGTTTAAGTATATGTCACAATTGTTTTTTTAGTCGGACTAGCCGAAGGCTAGGTTGACTCAAGTTTTACCTTTTAGCCAATCTATCTATCTATGTATTATTTCGCGTTTGGACCACCGGAAGTTAAGAATTTAATAGTTAACTAATGGGTTGGTTGTGTTATTAC